CGACACCTCATCGATCATGATGCATCTAAAACTGGTTTTTATTCGCTATTCAAATTGATTACTTTATTTGTTGAACGGCTTGCACTAAAAAATGTTTTCAGCAGCACCTTGACAAAGATTCGAGCTTGTTGCCCACCTTTTTGAAGCCACCCTTTCTTCCATTGCTTCGTTCCCAAGGGTTTTCTTTTTGTCAAAAACCAGGTATCATTAGTTAGTTTAAAGGACGAATTCACGATTAGAATGAAGGTCGAAGAAGGAGTAATTCACCTAGTTGAGGGACCCGCGGACCTCCTAAGGGTGCGGACTGAAGCGCAATTGGCACCGAAGGAGTTGACCTCGGCGACCTATTAAGGCTCAATCTTGGCGCGGTGGGCCAGTGCACGCCCACCGATCATCTGATCACTAGGTCTATACGTGGCGAGTGATTAGATAGGTGAGAGAGCGTAGTGTTGAAGAGGGCACAGCGATGATAGTCGCATCAATGGGGTCCCATTTCTCGGGTTCTGGGCCGTTTCTCATGGTTCTTCCTTCTTTCGTGTACCACTCACCATCCCTAGGTTAATTTGAAATGGGTTGCCTTTCCAGCGTGAATTCGTCCTTTAATAGATGGCAAATTGATGAATTTTCCATTCAAGAATCGACGAAGCGGAAGGTGGCGATTCGAGACTCGTGACAAAGCGATGCGGATCGTTTTGGGGAGAGACATTGTAGTACGGTTGAATCAAGCCCGAGAGAAAGCACAACAATACCATTGATCTCGTCTTTTTCTATGGTTTCGGTATCTATCACGTTTTGTGAAACTATTACTAGAAATTAAATCTGTATTTCTCTGTTGGTATCATTCGATAAACGATGTGCAGGTAAGAATGATTTTTCATGGTCTATAAATTCTAGGTGGCATGAATCGTCAGCTACTCACTGTTGTCGCCGTTATCTAGACATGAGCATATGATAAAATTTGAACGAAAGTGCAAAGTTCTTACAAGTGGATAATCAGGACTTCAAATAACTATCACAGTATAGAGAAGAAACTATGTCTCAGCATGAGCCGCGAACCAATATTGCTGTGATGATTGAAATTCGTTGCCGAATCCCACGTGCAAACGCTGGAATGACCACACACCCCTCCGGAAAACACACAAGAACCCCACTCCGACTCGCTCCCAAGAAGTAAGGGCCTCTGCTCCTTTCTCCCCGCCCCCCCCGCCCCTCCCCCCGACCCACCCCTCCACGAGCATCCGAGCGACAAAGCACCAGAATGTGACACACAAACACTCCTCACTGCTCTTCTCAAGAGAACAGCTCCGACTTAGAGCGAGGCGAGCACCAACGTAAATGCTAACGCCCACGCAAACGCGAACCCAACCGCCATCACGCACCACCAGAGCGTCGGGACCGGCTCGCTGCCCAGCGGAAAGCCATCGGCCTCCCGAAGGAAGCCCCTGACGAGCCGGCGCTTCCGCATATGCTTCGCCCCACCTCCGGGAGAACGGCCGCCGTACACGCGCGTCGGGACTTAACAGTGATCCTAGCTCCTCTACCGACCCCATCTCGGCCACACGTCGGACTCGGGCCTACCCGCACACTCTTTCGCTGGGTTTCCGAGTGCCATGCCGCCACCCTCGCACCCCCCCGAGTTCGCACCCACGCCCCCCCCGCTTTCTGGGATTCAGTTTCTGGTCTCCCCCCCTGCAACTCAAAGCCACTTGGTTCGTGAGACCACCACCCCCCCCCCCCCCCCCCACCCCCCCCGCCACCCCCACCAAGGATTTCCCGAAGGAACTCTTCGGGATGGCTGGAAGGAACCCTCTGCTAGTGCATTTTTTAGCATGAGCATGTAGCTATTTAGATTAGAAGTATAGTTAGAGTTAGTTAGTTTTTAAAAGACAAAAGCTCGCACGTCTTAAAAATTCTCCTCGTTGTTTGCAAAAATCTTCGACGGAGCCATTCCTGACACACTGAACGAGCTTCTAGCCAACTTCGATTCAGGTGGGCATGGAAATTCACGTGACCCTCTAGGTAAGGCAAAAGGAGAAGATGGAACGAAATTGGCAGGTTTGCTTCTCTTTAGACGAGATTTCAGCGCCCTGGGTCATCGTCCACGCTGAATCCGGTGGTGCCACTCACTCAGCACTCACTAGCAGCAAGGCAAAGTTCGGGCTCAGACCCACCTAAGAAGCCCTTACCATGGCTAGAAGTGCTGGGTACGCAAGTGCAAAGGTAGCGCCACCTTTCTACATCGAAACGCGTCACTAGGACCCTAGGCGCCATGGACTTCTAACAGACTCCACCAAACTTAACATGGTCCGCCCACCGTTCGATATCTTGTCTGCGTCGCCACGTTGATCTGCTATGCTCTCTCTTCTCGGACTTCTCTACCACTCTCCGCGCTCACATTATCTCTCATCTCCCTGCCTGTCTTTTGAACTTCTCCACAGCATGGAGCAAAATGCTCGTATTTCCTGTGTATTTCAGGATTTTCTTTCCTTTTTTCTCCACTGGCGGTCCACCTCCCATCCCTACTTTCACATTTGAGTGGAATCACCCATCATTTAATCCTGATTCTTGCCTTGCAATCATTAGTACTTTGAAAACATGCCGCCAAATAAATGGAAAAATACAATTTCGCAAATGTTTTGGCTCATTCCTAAACGTTGCAACCAGTAAACGTTGCAGCCAATTTCGTTTTTATTTCACCCCAATTCGTAAACGTTGCAATCAATTTCGTCATTCTAACGCCTAATTCGTCATTCTTGCAAGCAATTTCGTAAACCTTGCAATCAATTTCGGCAAAAAATTTCGCTGAAACTTATCCTACAGGGGTTATCGAGGGTCCTGATCACGAATGTGACATCCATTTTTGGCGCTGGCGCCAAATTGGCGCCATTTGGCGCCAGGTGGCGCCACGACTGATTCCCACCAAATTCGCTGTAAACTTGTGTATAGGGGTTATTTCGAGCCCTGATTACGTTATGACATTCGTTTCAGGCATAAGCACTGTTCAACGCATATTTTACCTCCTTTTAAAGAAAATTCCACGCTAAGTACACAAACACCCAGCGCACGGCTTCTTTTATTTATTTATTTTATTTATTCGACATCCAATCACTGCAAAGACTTATTGATTATTTAAGAGAGAAAACGTTTGTGGTAAGAACTCCATACGGCTCCAACAGTTAGTGCCAGTTAGTTTTGAGGGAGCAATCTGTTATGCACCGATAGATTCATATAGACCGGAATGGCATTAGTTTAGAGAACCACTAGCCACCGAGCCCTGAAAATAACCGACTACTGAGGCCGCAGCACAACAGGGGCGGGTGCCAAGTGCACCTCTTTGATCTAAACACGAACCCCAGGAGCTGGCTCAGGGGTGCTTACGAAGGCTATCTAGTGGGTGGTTGGCTTTGTACGGAGCGAATGTTCTTTAAATGAAGTTCCAAGTGATTGGAGATACCAACGAAAACCCAACACAAGCTCCCAGGCAAGAAATTGTTTATTACTTATTTCGAACAAAAGGAAACGGCACTTGCAATCGAAAATGAAAGTGTTTGCTCATGTATTCGCGTCCATGTAGAGTAGAGCTTGAGTTGTCCACTTTATTGAGTAATTCTTTCAATAACAACGCTTCCTTGAGAAAAAAAATTGTAGACTATTTTACGTTATTTAAGTATTAATGAACTACCTGGCACGGTTTCCTGCATCTCTTCTGTCACCACGGCTGTTTCTGGCTCAACTTTCAGCGGATTATACAAGGCACTCATAAGGTATGGTGCTGAAAACTTTCTATATTTCCGATATTTACAATATTTCCGAACTCTTGCTTTCTTTTATTCCTGAAGTGCGTCGATGGCTTTACTAACGAATTATCTACATATCATGCTCCCTTCTACAAACATGAATATAATTCAATGTGCTGCAAAACTATGGATTCATCACACTTGCCATCGACATCCCTTATACGACTGAATGATTTCTTTCCAACTTTTCACTAGCAACACTTCAGGAAAGCTTTAGGTATATTGTCGTGTCGCATTTGTGATTTTTGGGCAGTGGGGGGTCGCTCTACGTACGCTCTGCCTTGCAATTACGACACTTCAGTTATTCCTATTTCTGATACTGCGGCTCGCTTACTACTGTTCATCATTCACTCAAGGCGTCCATTCCTTGTGGCGGGGGGTGAAATATTCTGGTATTTTCTCTTTGCGCCACTTGGAACGGTAAATTTTTCGTCGGTTTTGCTTACTAATTGATCGATCCTTGTGTGTCACCCAAGTGATCGTGATCTGCTGATAATCTTTCGACCTGTACTGCGTTCATGATTTCTTCGCCTTCCCGCTCTTCGTCTGTTCCAGCTAAGCGCTGTCGAATGGAGTGGTCACCTCAACCTAGGAGTTCTGCACTTGATCGCCTCCGTGCTATTGCTGCTGAGAAAGAAATGCCGTCGTTCATGAAGATCATTATCGAATTTATGGACGAGACGCGCCGGGAACTCACAGAGATCAATAGAAGAAATGTGGATATCCTGGAGGAGAACAAAAAACTCAGGGAAGAGAATTCCTCATTAAGGCTTCAAATTGAAAAATTGCTTTCTGTTAGTCCTCATCCTAAAGATCAAGGATTGTCTGATAGTGATACTTCTTCTCCTCCGCAAGGATTTTCTCATACTGATTTTGGTGTCGAATCTGATCTTAAGCGTTCCATTGTCATATCTGGAATGACAGAATGTGATTCTAGGAGCACTTTCGAATGCATGAAGCACGATGTTAGTTGTACTAATGCAATACTTGATTTCTTAGGAGTTCAGTGTTTTCCTAATAGTGTTTATCGTATGGGCAGGCCAAATAAGTCCAGCCCTAGATTGGTTAAGGTCGTGTTGCCCACTAGCCGTTTTCAAAGTGAGGTTCTGAAACGTGCACCCCGCTTACGTTTCTTCCCTAGTAAGGGCATATATATTCGTCCGTCCCTTACAAAACAGGAGAGAGATCGTATACGGGATGAACGTATGCGTAGTAAAGGCCGTACTCAGCCTACTTATAATAGCCATCCATCGTCTTCCTCAAATAGTGACGGTGCTGTTCAGCATAACAATCTCAATGTTAACAGTGTGACTGGCTCTTTGCCATCTACGGTTTCTGCTGGTACTAGCAGCCACAGTTCTGTTCATTCGCCTGTTCCAAATGTTGCGGGAGAAGTCTCCTCGTACCGATGATGGTCTCATATCAAAAAAATTGTGAGGAGTCCTCGGAATAAGGATAATGCAGTTAGATGTCTTACTACCAATATACGGTCTCTAAATAAGAACGCCTTATCTCTGAAGTATATGCTCACTAGAACAGACTATGGAATAGTTGCCCTATCTGAAACCTGGCTCAAATCTTGTCATGAGGTGAACGCTTTGTTAGGTGAGGTTTGCAATTATTATCAAGTCTTTCGTAGTGATCGTAAGCGTAAAAAAGGTGGTGGAGTTGCTCTGTTGATTAAAAGTGCTTTATCTCCTCTCCACATTTTCTCAGAGTCTTTTCCAAACGGATACGACATTATAGCGTGTGACTTCAATGGGGGAAGAACCAAATGTCGTATTATTTTGTGCTACAGAACTCCTAGCTGTCCCTGTGAGCATAGTGAAAGGCTTCTTAAGTGCATTAGCGATCTCTCAGTTTGCAACCATCGTTGTCTCTTAACGGGTGACTTTAACCTTCCAGATATTGACT